AACGATTGCAACCACTGGTTGCAACCACCTTTACAACCATTTTGTTTCCTTTTTTGGATTGCAACATGGAACACTAGTTATATTATAATAATAATAATAATTATTATTATTATTATGTTGTACAATTTTACTATCGTTGATATTAATTAATAAATAATAAAAAAGTTATTTTTAAAAACATCATGTGATGATCATCAATTACCTTGGTTACCGGATACCTCGTTATAACGGACCATTGAGGCCAAACCAATATGTCATTATAACGAGGTTCGACTGTAATACACAATTGCAGGGATTAAACATATAATATGCATACAAATTGTGTATTTTTTTATGTATGCAAATTGTACATATATTATATGCTTAATTTCTGCAATTGCGTATTATATATGCATAATATTTGTACCCATTTTCCTGATGTTTAAGGCTTAATTCCTCCACAACAACATGACATACATCTGGAAAATATAAAAAAATTTTACACGTTTCAATTGTAAGTTTAATAATAAAAAAGTGTAAAACTTACGTCGGCACTGTAAGATTTACACAATATTACGTCGGCATCGTAAGTTTTATGCAAGTTTACGCTAAATTAATTTCCTGATATATCAACAAAATGAAAATGTCATTTTGTAGAAAAAGGTCTTAGCTTCAAAATGACATCTTGTTTTTTTGGTCACACATTTCCATTTTTGGAGGAGTTAAAGGATTTGCAAGACTAATAAAATTTGTAGGGACTAGGTGTCCTGCACTATACATGAAGTTGAAATGTTTTGACTCGAGGCAACTACATAGTAAAAATCAGTTTCGGCCTTATTTTGACCCTATTTCAACCAGATCTGCAAATGGTTGAAATAGTTTTGACTTCATGTATAATTTCAATCAAGCCCACCTATATTTGAATAATTGATAAAATGTTAATTTACAAAACTTGATTTGCAAACTTCTTAGATCTTGTATTTAACACTTACTTTGATTGCGCCTATACAAACTATTGAATAATTGACAAACATTCGTCATTATTTATTACAAACTTCTTTAGAAGCTCGTATGTTGTCATGCATTTTGTATTTAACAGTTACTCCCACAAACT